ACGCGAGCGAGCGAGCGAGCGAGCGAGAGAGAGAGAGAGAGAAAAGAAGCGATTTAGCGAAGGACTCTCGCGGAGCGGTAGTAATAGTAACCTAATTCGCGTTTATTAAAAAGCTTCATTCGCGGGAGCCGTCGTTTGGAAAATTCGCGCGCTCCGCGATCTCTAATTGCCAGTGCAAAATCGAGAACCCGGTTTCCCCCCGCATTTCAATACGTGCCGCGGTAATGTCTCCCCCTCTTTCCCCATGTTTTTTCTCTCGCTTCACGAAACTCGCCGGGTGTTTTATACGTCAAATTCTCAACGGTGCAGTCTCAACGCGGAGAAATTCGCCAACGACGCGGCGCACCTCGAGCGAGCACCTTTGCCGCGACTTTTCCGCGGCACATGCAGCCTACGTACGCAATTAGTCGCGGCTCATTGCGCCGTAATTCACAATTAGCGAAAAGAAAATCGAATCCGACGGGGGGGGGGGGGGTTGTTTCTTACGAGAGTTTATTCGCTTCGATAGAAGTTGGTTCGCGCGAACCGTTCGCGAAAGGCGGTCTCTTTCATTTTCCCGGCGGGTCGCGAGAATCCGCAAGGTGAGATCGTCGCGGAATCATCGTATTAAATGCTTAATGAATTCGACGGCAGGTTCGGCACTGGCGTATCGGTGCGGCGCAGGCAGCAGTGTATCGATTGTCGCGTGACGTCATTCACAGAGGGAGAGAGCAGGCCTGAGCGAGACGGAGAGAGACGCTCGTCTCTCTTCAACTTTGGCCTTTCGACGCTCCGGATATTCGATTCGCAGCTTGTTTACACGTGTCGGCGGAATAATTGCGTTTTTCCGAACGCAATCGTGCGCCGAATGCGCCGTGATGCGCCGTGACGAATAAATTAAGGCGCCGCGATACTCGACGCGCGTCGGGCAAAATTCATCGCGCGATCACCACAATTAGGTATCGCGCGACATTTTCGTTCCTCGTCCGCCCTGCAAGTCCCGTCGAACTTGAGAGACCAACGTAGAATCTCGAAGGGCACAAAGTACTGTTTGCCCTACCTTGATGCCGCGAATGGTTCCTTTCACTACCGTTTTCTTCATCTCGAAGAAGTTCGGAGAAGCGCTCATTCGAAAATATTATCTACCACCTTCTACCTATCATCCAACCGGCCATTCAACCAGCGATGGATAATTTATTATATTGGTTATGTATCGGTTAATTTATTCAATTCCAGTGTGTAACTTTCAGATTTACTTACTCAGATGGAGTATGCGTGAGATAAGCAATTATTAAATAATCTAATGAAGATTGAATGAAGATCAAGGGTAAAAATAGGTAAAAGAAGGAGCACGTTTTTATTATTACAATCATCTCTATTCTCCCTTTTTCTTTTATTATCGTTGAAAGTCTCGGTAGAATTGGCAGCTCTAAAAAGAACTGATAAGAGAACAAAGGCAAAGATAACCATTAAGTGTCCAATAACGCTGTGTATCATTTTGAACAGATATTTAACTTTCGATTCTGTGCGATAAGAAGAATAAAGATCGCACTTCGCGGCCTAACGAGCATTATTAGACGTAAAAATCAGCACTTGCGATACTTACATTGGATTTTAAGGTCGATACTCGTAGTTGTATTTGCGACCTTTGATCGAGAGCATAATTAATTACAAGTTCGTACTCGTGGGCCGTAATTCGGCTGTTTGGATCAACGCGTTTCTTGTTGTGAGAAACAATATAACTACAGACTGACAAATAATTGGAGATTAATAAAGCTAAAATTATTTATTAAATAACAACCGACTATATGAATGTCTCCCTAAATTTCGACTCGGATATCTCTTTGTCCACGGTTCCTCAAACGTCCGCTAAAAACGGAAACCTCCCGCATGATAAATTATTTGACACATCTTAAAAATGCATGATGTTTCGCTGGCCACATCTCGGCGTCCTGCATCCTCCGTGTCCTGGCTTCTCGATTTAGCATCCTGGCTGCTCCGTCGTGAAAATGGCGTTAACTGACACTCGCGTAGATTCGTTCAAGAATGTGCATATTAAATAACGAGACGTCGATGAGTGTCTAATTAATGATTTCAAAACAGTCGGCGAAATATTTTCATCACCCCCGAGAAGAGCGGGAAACGTACACGATAAAGAATTTCACAAAATGTTGTTAAATTAACATATTCACCTTGTTGGCACTTATCGCTACTTTTCACACACATTCGCATTGTTAAAGCAACACAAAAGCTCTTCGGGTGGACCGAGTTGGTAACTCAACATTTTTTTATCGTATACCGATCCGTGCCGCCGGCCGAAACGTAGCGCGCGTTCCGATATTCATTGCCAGTACCGCAAACCTATAGTATACACATAACTATGAACTATAGATTCTCAGTACCGGCAGTGAATATACGGAACGCACACATAATAAAAGCTCGGTAAAGCGCGCGCGCGCGACGTGCAAAACTTCGATCGCCCGAAGGTTCCGGAATGTTTTGAGTGCGATCGCTCGCCGTTCATTGCCGAGCGTCGACGGTTAGAAAGGTGGGGGAGGATAAATACACCCCTACCCGCGGATTATTTTCGCACTCCCGCGCGCACTTTTTCCCGCGATCGATCGTTACAATCGCACTTTTCCCCCCGAAGCGTTTCGTCGCGCTTCTCTCCGAGCGTTCGATCGGACCCCCGTCGGCGTCGCGTTAATTAACACGCGTTTCCCCGATCGAATCGTATCTGCTCGGGTGTCAGCGCCACGAGCTGGTATCCGGAATGTCGTGACGGTCAGGAACAGGATGCTGGATCGGAAAGCCGGGACGGAGGATGTAGGACGCCGGGACGTGAGCAGCAACGATACGTTTCTAGATGCATCGAGCGGCGTGGTAGTGCCGAGACGCCGATAAATAATACGAGTGTACTTCGTGCATACAAACATTGCCGGCGCTAATGAAAAGGAAATGAATAATAAAGAGTGTGTGAAGATATCAAATTTGCTGCCTCACCCATCCCTTATGTGCTTGTTACATATATTTGAAGATAATCGAACATTGAATATAATCCCGAGGTCCTCTTTAAGAACGATTTAACACGGAGAAAATGGCATTAGTCAGCCATTTATCAAGAATGGACGATGTTGCTTGTACGGGTGTCCTCCAAATTAAACGCCAATTTATCAAGTTAATATAGAACCAAAATTTCAACTCGGGAGCCATGGATGGATTTGCTGCATAAAAGGTCCTGCGGGTCCGTCTCGTTCGGCAAATTTATCAGCATCTCTCTCTCTCTCTCTCTCTCTCTCGGACACGCTTAATTACCATCGCTCTCCGCATCCGTTTATCGTTACTATTGCTCCCAATTAATGCACGATAAAGACAATAATGCGCACCACTATTGTCTTTATCGCGTAATTACCCGTAATTAATTATCGATAAGTTGTCGCGCGAGCGCAGCGCGCCGGCTCGCGCGCCCGCAGCGTCCTCGAATTCCGGAGCTTCAGACCGCGCCGAGGACTCTCTCGCAATCGCGATCTCGGCCATTTTTCGCGATTAATAACCTTTAATAATTCATCGCGCGATGCGAATTCACGACGTGTGCTAACGAGGACACCGAGGCAAAAGGAAACGTCTCGCGCTTTGTCCCTCGCTCGGAGATCACAGAATTGCTCCGCGAGATGCTGCGCCCATCTCTCTCTCTCTCTCTCCCTCTCTGTGTATGTGTTCTCGGCGGCGTGCGTGAACGCGAGGCGCGTTTAACCTACATAAAGTGGAATCGTGATTGGGCGAAGTAAATGGCGAACGATCGTTCAGATAATCGATATGCAGCGCGTCTCGCGCGGTCCCGTCGGCGCTTCTCGCGCGGAGAAAGCCGGTTTCGTTCGTTCGTTTCTTCGCCGTTTGAAAAAAAGAAGAGAAGGCCTTCGGCTCGCAGCGAATCGCGCGCGCTCGGCTTCGTTTTTCATTAAAGTGCGTGGGCGCGCGCGCAATCTTAATCGGCGGCGCGACGTCGCGAGTTCTGAAAAACGCGCGCTCGCTCGGCGAGCTCGCGGACGAACGGGCGGATTAGCGGGACCCGACGGCACTCATTCGCGCTCCCACGGTTATAAACTATTCAAGTATAACGCCTCGGCATTATCCAATCGCGCGATCCGCTGCTCTCCTATCAGCGTCGCGACCGTTTTTCTTCCACCGCGCGAGGGCCAAGTCGCCTCGTAATCTGCGCTTCTTATCTGAAGCCCTAAAAATCATATCGATGTTATATCGCGAACGACCGAACGATCGTGGGCAATACGCGCGGTAAAGCGCTCAATACGGCCCTTTCCGATTCCAAGTTTCGTCGAGGCACATACGAGTGGCGCGTATGTCACGTTGCCGTCAGCTTGAGAATCGGAAAGGCGTGTTTAACGTTTAAAATGTAGCCCCCCGAGGTTTCTTGCGTTTCGACTTCGATAAGTATCGGGCGTCTCGGGCGCTCCGCAGGCTGCAACTTTGCCGTATGAAAAAAGAGCCGATACGTCCTTCCGATCGCAAGTTCCCTTTTTCGCGACGTTGTTGTCAGCTTGAGGATCGGAAAGGCGTATGTAGCGTTGAGAGGAACGTTTAAAATACAGCCAGAACGGGCTTCCTCCCGTATGTTTCTCACAAATATCGGCCGTCCCGGACACTTCGCGCGGTGCAACTTGGCCAACTTTTCGCCGACCTCTTCTTCGGCGCGTACGTCTAAATGTGGAAGTTACATCCTGTCGGGATAAAAATTTCAGCTCCATTATCTCTATCCGGTGTCGAGCAGCCCGATAACTATCGTGTCGAGAGAATTCGGTGCAAGTTGCAACCGCGATCGCTATTTTTACGCGCGGCGGACTTTTCCTATTATTAAAGCTCGTTCAATTTTATCGTGCGAAAATACCTCGGCCAACAAGGAATGACGTGAGCGCGCGCGAGAGGGTTTACAAGGCAATATCGAAAATTAGGAGCGAAGGACGCGACCAGTTGGGAAAGTGCACACGTTGCTCTTTTGTTCGCAGGGTATTATCAGCCGGCTGGTCCACTGATACAGCACCCGCCTACCTTACCGCCCGTTAAAGGTCCACCTCCGGAACCGACGCCCACGCCTCCGCAAAATTCCGAGGGTTCCGACGACTTGGTGGCGACCTCGACGACCTCCGGAGGCACGAGTAGCACGGGTATGTGGCTTGACAATTACAACGACGACACGCGATAACGGGCTTTAAAAGAGCGCGACTGTGGAAAGGGGGGCTTCACCCGGTACGTTATTTCCTCCCGGGGAGGAGAGCGCGCGCGATTTTCTTCACTCAACGACAAATTTCTTCCTCTAACCGGACGATTATTTTCTGGAGAATCTTTCGCTCGATACGCAGGAGGAAATGAGCGCCAATTGACGGGAATTAAATCCTCGCGTCTGGAGAAGAGCTTCGACGGTGTCTGTGAAGCTGACACGACGTTTTAGAAACTGACGGAAAACACTGATAGTTTCAATAGCACTTCTCACGGTTCCACGGCTCTTCTCATCCCTCATCCTGCATCCCTTATCTCCGATCCCACATACTCCTCCTCTCATCTTTTATTCCCCAACCCTCATCCTTTAACACGATCGTGAGACGTTTGATTCAATTGAAAGGCAAGAATACACACGATATGTTCGTGCGAAATATTTTCAATGTTTACACAGCTAAATATACGAAAATGATACTGCGCCAAGGGTTGCTGGAATTATGGAATGCTTTTTGATACATTTGTTAAACGTGACGAAGCTTCCGCCATCGAAGCCTCTTCTCGGCGCGAATCGAGGTGGAATTGCTCAACACGCTCGCGTCGTTTTTCAGCCTCCATACTTTACACGTCGCTTGAATTTCGTTAGTTTCGTCTTATCGGACGAATCTGCCGTCCCAGCGAACGTCGTCGCACGTTTCGCCGGGGCTCGCGCTATCAGATCTCGCGTTTGCATTAATGATTTTATCGTGTAAACGCTCGGCGCGACGCGATTAACCGTGTCGGCCGTGCATTAATGAGCGCGCACGTGTGCGGGATATTAAGTTTGTAAGTTATACTGATATAAGTCGGGCGCAAACCGGGGGAGGGGGGGGAAGATATGAAAAGCTCCCGGCTTAATTGACTATTTCCGGCTCTCCTCGGCTTTCCACACTTTTACCTGCGCGCGTCCTTTATTCCCCTTCACATCCGGCGACCGATATTATTCTCGGTTTCTCGCGCGAATCTCGGCGGAAAACGGCTCGTCGTCGAGGAATCTGCGGAGATTTAAGTCGAATTGATCCGAACGGAAGCTCCGTTGATGTTTCGCCGAAGGAGTCTGGACGGGTTCATCGCGAGAAATCGCGTGCCGCGCGTTAAGAACCGGCGAGATTGAGCCGTGAGAGCGCGTTTTTCCCGCGCTCTTCCAGCGTGTACAAACAACGGCACGCATGCGCGCTCGCGCGAATATTATATGTATTAACGTGTAATAAAAGCCGTCTCTAAATCACGGAGTGCATTGACGCGAGCTCGCATGGCTAATAGCGCGAGCACTCACGAGTTAATTGGACGGAGATATCAGCGTGTTCGATAATATAGCGCTCTCTCGCTACCTTTGAGCGCTGTATCGATATCGTCGGCGTACACAGCAGCGTGTGTACACACGTGTGTGTACGTGTGTGCCGACACATTCACGCGCGAAGATTACTCCGGAGAAAACGTCACTGATAGCCGGTATTATCAGGGACGGATACGCGTAGTCCTCTATTACGGGGAAGTAGTTATTGTATTCTATGCGAGACCATTCCGTCGCTCCGACCGACGTGCGATATCGTCGATATCATCGATTTGTCATAATTATATCGCAATTAAAAAGAGAATCGACCGGGCCGTTCGCTTCGCGTTAACGGCCGCCCGCGGCATGGGGAGAAAAATAACTCCCACAGCTAGAAACCGAACTTTTACAGGGAACTGTCGTGCAAAATTGGCTGTCCATATAATACAACTGAAATTTAGTTAATCTGGCTGATTCTTTGCGCGGCTGAAGTTTGGAGCGATCTTCAAGGCGAAGATTAAGACACTTTTTTTGTCAAATTTAGCGTCAGTGAAAAAATTAACGTACGCAGAAAACAATAAAATTGGGCAAAATGTGCCGATATTAGCGCAAGAAAAACGGAAAAGATGCGGGGGCACTCGCAGGGATGAAAATTCCCGTCGAGAGCTCCGATGGCTTGTGCAAATAAATGGCGGTAATTTTACACTCCCTGGAACGATTCGCGTTAGAAAAGGTAATAGTTCGTTGAAAACCAGCGCCCGGAAGATCTCCATAATCGAAGTTCAAGCGCGCGAACTTAACTACAAAGATGAACGTTTCCGCCAGCGATCTCAGAATTCTGCGCAAGGAAAGGGTAATTGACAACTGAAATTATGATGCGTATTGCAATCCTTCGTAATGTATTTCATTGTACACATCACAAAGATCGCGATACATTATAATAATTTCAGTTATCATTCCGGTGTGGTCGAGCGTTGCAAAATTTCGTAATAATTTCCCCCTTTTATGGACGGGCGAATTTTTTTATCCACGCGACGTCCTTCCCTCGCTTCGCAGATCGAAATCTGAATTGTACGAAGGGAGAATAATTTCCGCGACGATCATAGGCGCGTTATCGGCGACGGGTTATATTGATGAATTCAATCATCACCCGGAGAGCATCGCTCTCGAGGACGACGAGCACAGCCCGGCGATATTTCTCATAAACCGACACCGCTGTGACTCCGTTCCGCGACGCGATACCGCCGCTACATTCGGTCAGCCGAAATTCGGACAGCCGGAATTGATTCGCGGGCGGCTTTCGAGGCCGCGTCGTTGTATTCCCGTCGAACTCGACGGGATTCAACGGCCGACCGGAATGAATGAACGATCGTTTGTTACAGGTGGAGGCTTTTATAGGGCATATTGCCCGCAGTACTACGGCACGCCGCCGCAGTATCCGGATCTGTGTTATCCGCCGACGTATTCGCATCCTCACCCTCATCCGCCGCATTACTACAAATATGCGCCCTACAGAAGGTAAGAGATTTATTCGCCGTTTATTTATTACCCGCTTCTCTCTCTTTCTCACATTGCGTGACCACGCGAGCGAAAGAGGCTAAGAGAGATCGAGAGCGCAGCTACGCCGCGTTGAGCCCGATTTGAAAGGTCCGATTACGAAATTTGAACGATCAAGTTTTCAGTCAGGTCAGTTTTTTTTATTTATTTATTTATTTATTTTTTGGTTAATTTTTGCACGTCAATCCTGGACTTTCGTAATGTCCGTGTCTGAAGTCCGCGTCGCAGAATGTACGGTGTTGTTGAGTTTACTGTTAAGGTTTCGGTCTGAAAAGTCGGTTCATCGGACCAGCCGAAAATTTCGAGCGCCGACAACATGGCGCGACAAGTTGCAGAACCTTCTCGCGTGGCACCGATTGGAACGAAAACGGATGTTTGTTGTTACTTTTTGAATTAAAATTAAATACCTCCGTCCATGTTTTAATTTCAATTGTTGCTCTTGCACGGTCTTTATTTTAGAACATGATTAAGTTGATTCTATCCGAAATTTCTTGAAGTGAAATCTTACGAAAAAAGTAGAACGACAGCCGAATCACACTCGAGTAATTTTTCATTCATGTGGAGTGAATTCTCCACTCTGAATAATGGAGGGCATATTTTCACTCAAAACTGAAGAGTGAGTCTGATGTATTGCATTGTCACGGGAATGAATTCACTTTACTCGATTGAAACGATCACTCGTGTAGAGTCGGAATACACTCGAAACTTGAGTGAAACATTCGCCTTTGCAATTTCGAGTGACAGTAATTTCACTATCGCTTCGAGTGAGAATACCGCCAGTTATTTTGAGTAAGATTCCGCTCCAAGAAATTTCGAGTAATTCTTAGACACTGAATTTAGATTTCCGTATCGCTCACGTCTGGAATACGCGTTCGAAAAATCGTGTCGCGTTTAGTCCGGTGTGAAAATCCGATTCTAAAAATTCAGATCGACGAACAAATTTCCGAGCACCGACAACATGGCTCGACTGATGCCGGGTCTTTCCCGCGTAATTGAGTCGATTGAAATAGAAGAAAGCACCCGTTTGTTAATTCTTGAACGTTGATTTTCAATTTTCGCGTTCGCCCGCGTCCGGAATCCGCGTTCGAAAAAAAATCACGTCACGTCCGGTGCGAAAATCCGATCCCGAAAGTTCGAGCTCCGCGGAGAAATCCGAGCGTCGGCTCGGACATAGCCGATTTTTCAATACTTCTGCCCGAGTTGCCCGGAAATTTATTCTCGGCGCGGCTTCGCGTCACCTCGTGGAGCGGCCGTCTGTTCGCTGTGTTCTCCACCGGCCGTTCCGCGACGCCGTCGTCGTCGCTGCGTGCGTTCGCGACCGGCCAGCAACCGTCGATCGAGACAATATACACGGTGCGCATTCCGTAAGGAAAACTATCTTTCCAGGCAATACTATGGCTATCAAGAGTCCGGTGGGGGAGGCGGACCGCCCGGCAGCGGGGCCGCCGGGGGTGGCCCTGGAGTCGTTGATTACCAGCCGCCGCCGCCGCCCGGCGAATATCCGTTGCCACATTATTACGGGGGATACCCCCCGCCCCCTCCGCCACCGCCACCTCCACCGAACCCGGCATATCTGCATTCTCAGGGAAGACCTTTCGTAGACCGTAAGTATCTCTCTCTGTCTTTTTCATTCTCACGTCTCCGTTCCAGCAGCCCCCTTCGTCCCTCACGACCGAGAAAATCGTGCGAGAGGATCTCCCGAATTAGGAAATTCGGCAATTTCCTCCTTCCCTCCGGGCTTCTTTTAGAATTCGTTCCCCGTAGAAGGGTTTTGACGAATTGTTGAGTTCGTCACGCAAACCTTTTCTCGCGTCGTACCCCGTGAAGCTTCTCGATTTTGACGAGACTCCGATGCGTTTTGTACGTCACGTTGAACTGAATGTTTGTAATTATCTTATTTTCCAAATTTTCACTTTATTCTTGAACACCGATCCTGCAGATAAAAATAGATGAATGCGTAGTTCGCATTTACGAGTCGGCCTTTAGTCCCTCGACATGCGTGTGTCCGATCGCGGAATTCCTCAACGTGCATTATTAAAGGCCGGTGAACTTCTTACCGCGACGGCTGGCGTAATTAATCGCACGTGTGTCCTAATTATCGAAAGGATTGAGTTATAGATCAGGTTTGCCTCGAGTTGATTTTCGCAGACGAGTAAACACGTTTCCAGCGAGTAACCAGCCTTCTCTCTCTCTCTCTCTCACCCTCGTCACTCGTGCAGGAAAAGCAGGTAATTATTACGTCCCTGTGACCGAGCGAACAAAGCGCTCGACTGAAGAAAAGAGCTTTTATCTCTATTCAAGCCTTAAATGTGGCCAAATATTTTTTCTCCGTTCTCTTGCAACGACTATTATTTACCACGATGAACGAAAATGTCGCAGATTTCATTCCGAAATTTCCAAAGCCCGAATTTCTCTCGTCGTGGGAAAGTCGAAATTGTTTACCGAAAAGCCGGTCAAAATTCCACCCATTTCCTAATACGGAATGTCGGCAGGTCGTTTTTTTTTTTTTTTTTTTCCATTATCGGCCGACGATTCGTTCCGATCGTTTGACGCGATCGTACACGATCGATTAACCGCGTCGATCGGCGGAACAGTTGGAAAATTGCGCTTTGACGCCGACAAAAATAGAAACTATCGAAAACGTGCGAGCCATGTGGCGTTCTTCGCGCTTGCGGCGACGCCTCTTGTTATTGGGGAAACCGGCATTCCAGAGACACCTAACAGTAACGGTACCTCGCATCGTATCATCGTGCGCTCCGTTAACGCAATTATCGTCGTCGCAAGGAGACGCGCAGCGTCAGATTCACGCGTCGGCCGACTCGACGACGCACGCGCGGCATCGTCATCGTCGTCGTGACGATTCACTCCAATGAAGTTAAGATACGAGCAACCAACGTGGCAATCACGCCAAGGACCGAGAGCAGAGATCGGGCCTGTCCAGCCGTGAATTCGAAAGTTTTAGGGTAGGACCCTTCATTCAGGTCAGCTTCGAAGCATTCTCCACGGGAGAAAAATGCTATCGTCTATCATCAATAGAATCGGACAATAGCGCCGCACACATCTTCTTTTTCTTCTTCTTCTCCCTGAGAAGAATAAGATATTTTGGCCCTGTGTGAAATCTTTCATTTCTGTTTCCGGATGTTTTAGCGTCTAAATAGGTTGTTCAAGGTAGCGTTAAAATGAAATCTGTAGAATTCAAGATTCGGGGGAGAAGTTATTAAGTGTCAGCGTCGTCAAGCTTTTATTCATCCATAGGCCACCTAAGTAGATAGAAAGTATCCTTAAGAGCGTTAAAATAACGTCACAATTTCGATTCGAACTTAGTAAACAATCGATGATATTATTGTTGAATCAAAAATATTACTTCAATTACTGATGGTCGATTCTATCGATATAACAGTATGTTTCCCGTGAAGCTAAGCAATGACGTGATCGATCTTTTGTACGAAAGGAAAACGCTTCCAAGTTTAGAAATTTCCCGATAGTTTATGATCATTCATTCAAAAGAGAAACGACGCGTACATTAGTCACCGACAGTCATCCTTGTCAGGCAGTTTTTCGGTTTTGCATTTCCGCAATCTATACAGTAAAGGGCGAGAGTGAGGGGAGAAAAAGGTCGACTCGCTTTTCACTTGTACGACTGCAGTCAGTTGCGAAGAGTCATCCACACGGTGTTCAGTGTTCAGTAAGAATTGTCTTCTGTTTGCTCGATGACGACGATACTGTGAGATAGTATGAATGTCCGAGATTTCGCAGTAACGTGTAACGTCCGCCGCATCACGAGGAGTAAGTGTAAGTGCGACAATTATTTTTTCTTTTTATCAATTTTTTCTCGTCCCGCATTTGTCTCCAATTTGTTATCGAGCTTATTGTTGGAAATTCAGTCATCACACGAATCTTGCCCGTCGATCGCCCCTCAATGGAGATACTCGCTGTCGACGATCTATAGTCGCATTTAGGGAAGTTTGAAAAATGTTATCTACAGCGATAAGAGTGGGATAACGGTTCGCTTTGTTCAGGAGAATCGCCGGCTTAGAAATGTACCGAACGGACGTGCGTGGAGAGAAAAAACGCGTCGCGATAAAATAATACAATATTAATCCCTTCGCTTCCCGTACAAAGAACGTGCACGCATGTCCAGAGAAAAAAACAGACATTTTTTCCGCTCGTTTGCGAGAAAACTGTACGCTCGGAAAATTTAGATGAGCGTGACACGTTTATTTTTTGTTTGTGACATATATATACACGAAATATATCACAAAATATTTCATGATTTTTTTAACTTCCCTCGCAACTAATACGCGAAAATCATGCCGCGATGTTTTTAGTCAGAGCGCGCTGTGATGAAAGGCACGTCGATTGAAGAACAAAAAGACGCGGAAGATAAAAATAGATAGATAAATAATAGCGTTTACATTGCTCTCCAAGACAACGTTTAGCCAAAATCTAACAAAATTTGAATCGATACGTTCGCATCGCACAGTGAGACTAATTTCCGTCCGAAAGAAAATGTAGTTACGAGAAAAATCGTTAATACGAGGTTAGAACTAAAACTGGAAAGAGGGAGGAACGAAAGGGAAGAACGAAGAACGTATAACCGTATTAAGAAAGAAATATCCCCGACGACGCTCTCCCGTCGGTCGAGGGAGGGAGGGAGCGAGGTTTGGAGGCGCGAGCCCCGGGATTGTATGTGTCACAAATTCACCGAGACTTTTCGTTCGCGACCCAGCCTTTCAGGGATGTCCATGCCCGATGCAATCGTGTCCAAAAAACGTGGATACTGGGGCCCTTATTGGTAATGGTAAGGGAGCGCCAGTGATATCGGGGACCGGTCCGTCATTGCCACCCAGTGCTTTGGTAGGTCCGCCCTCGCCGGCGAGGGGGTTAGCCGGGCTTGCGCCCCCTCACGGTGCCAACGCCTGGGATACGGAACGCGTCCAACTCAACGCATCGCACCGCAACCTGAATCAGAACCAGCCGACTTCGGTCCCGCCGTCGCACAACCTGGTCGGTGGGCCTCACAGCCGCCCTCAGGGCCAGGACTGTAGAAGTAGTAGTAAGGTGCGTATGTGTGTGCTTTTTGCCATGTAGTCCGTCGACGTCTGTCGTCTCCTGATCCGCCCCGCGTGTTGACTTTCGCCAGCTGACCCGCGCGCATATACCACGTCGAACGAGTCTCGCGTTTTCGATTATGTATCGATGCACGCTCACCGGCAGAAATAACCTTTTAGCACGCAGTATGATTAAGTTTCTACCGGCAAGTGTCAGCGTAGCTAACACGGTGGCAAAAAGAATGCAATATTCCTTGCTAGAAATTCCATGCATTTCTTTAGCAGTCACTGAATAGTTATATTAACTTCTGTCCAGCAACCGAGGGGGTGAAACTACTTGGGATCCTAATCAAAATGCACCCCGCTTTTCCTACAGTTACTGTGCAAGAAAGACGCGCGAAATCTAAATTTATTTATTGAGAGGAAACAGAAGAACGAAAAGTAATACTCAATTTAATGTTAGATAATTCATTAGACAAGGCAATATGCAACTGGACAGGTGTCTACGCAAACTGCACATATTTTTTTTTACCAGGAAAATTGCTTCTGCCACTGAATAAAACTCAATCACATTCTTGTCCATTTCTTGCGCAGTATTCTTATTACTAATGAGAATGCATTAATACTAGACAGTAATTGGATGGGTCTAGGAACGCTGCATATATTTCTGCCAGGGTTAATTAATTGATTAATTGGATAGAGTATTATATATAAAATACTCTTATTATGTATAAATTAAATTTATTGTTTTATATATATTATATATATAATTATATATAAAATTATATGTAAAATAAATTTGGAACTCGTTTTTTTTTCTTTTTTTCCCCTTTTTTTTTGAGACGGAAGGTTGATTCACTGCGCACACTTATCTGGAGGTTAACCCGGCACGTGCTTATCATACGTTAAACATCTGTGTCCTGCCATAAAATTAAAAATAGTGTGTCGCTGTAATAGCCGCGATTAGGCCTCTTCTATCTCTATTTGATAAGTCATTTGTACTTCACAGCCACATACATTCGCTTCTGCACATTAACGTAAGGCTATCAGCGATTACTCACTGATACATATTACCGATTGAACAAGTCATTTCCGTCCTTCCTCTGGTAACCAATAAATAATTCAATAACGCGCAGAAAGTTCTCAGCTCGTTGATAAATTCGCGGAAAAGCTGCTTTTGATGGAAAATATTCCTGGCGAAGAATCATTGTTCGTTATTCACTTCGCATATAAAATTGTCGAAAATTTATCCCGATGAGAAACACGGCCGGAAGATCCTGCGTAACTTGCATGTTACGATGCGTGTTAAGGCTGTTTTGCCGATTAGTGTATAATCAGAGATCGTATTCGATACGTGCGATATTTCCTCGGTGAATTTCGCGCCGAACGTCGTGTCTCCGCGAGCGGATTCATTTCCGCGACTTTCGGACGTCTCGGCGATGAAGTGTCGCGGAGAAAGAGTCAAGCGTGTACCCCGAAATGTGTACGCTCGAAATGGCGCGAAGAGATTTCACGTTATCCTCCGCGAAGCTCCCGCGAGTTAATAATCGCACGATCGAGAGAACGATAATTTTGGCGCGAAGGAAAATCGTCTCGACACGAAGGGAGAATACTCTCCTCTCATGCATGTATGGGTTTCCAGGTGCACCTTGCATACAGCGCGATCCTGTCAGCCTGAATAAGCATTGTAAATTTGTCGGATAGATTTCCCGGTTGCCGGCACAAAGAAAGAGAGAGAGAGAGAGAGAGAAGTCATATTGCCTTAGTTTCGTCGGCCCGATATCGTCGCGTTCGCGTATACACGTGCTGCCGAATATTCGAGTAGAGTTTAACGATTACGAAGTCGAGGAAGCTCGTACGAGAGCTTCTCTCTCTCTCTCTCTCTCTCTCATGTTCACTCAATCAGTCAGTCACTTGCTCGCTCGCTCGCTCGCTCATTCATTCGGACGCGATGTGCTGGAGTTGTGTACGTAACCCGGCGAATTTCCTTTTTGCCACCCCCGCAGGACGAGAAAAATTGTACGGAGGACAAGATGAGAAAGTGCGCTTGTCAGAAACACGCGTGCACGTCCACCTGCGAGGTCAAGGTGGAGACGCTGTCGCCGACTGAGAAACTGTCGGTGGCGGCTGGCTGTCCCGCCAGCAAGTACCACAATTTCAAGATGGAGAACAACAACGTGAAATGCGAGTCCTGCAGCATGGAGCTCGGCGACGGGCTGCCGTGCGTCGCCAACTGCAACGTCAAGTGCGAGTCGGACTACAAGTGCGACATCATGAAGTGCGAGCAGTGCATGAAGGAGGGCGGGATCGTCCTGGAGCTCGACAAGAACCCCGGGATCGTGCTGGACGAGAAGCTGGACGGCGACCCGAGCGTCAAGGAGGAGCTCGACGTGGTGGTGATCGAGAATGAGAACTGGAAGAAGCCGGATTACGAGCCGACCGTGCGGGAGACGGTCGACGACAAGCGGGAGGAAGAAGATCGCGAGGAAGAGGATGAGGAGGAGGAGGAGGAGGAAGCGGTGGCGGAGGCGCCGCCGGTGGCCGAAGCCGAGGAGCAGCCGAGGTGCCAGAAGGTGACGAAGCGGAAGCTCTCGTTGGACAGCTTGTCGGACAGCAGGAAGAAGCGGAAGACGAGCAAGCGAGCTCTGTCGGTCGGTTCGTCGCAGGACAGCGAGCAGCGCGTCGACAACGAGCAGCCGCCGGTGAAGGCCGTCGTGCCGATCGAGCCGTTGCCGAGCAAGACCGCCGAGGACGACGTCGTCAGGCCGGTCGAGACGACGAACGCTCCGAAGAAGAAGCAGCCGAAGAAGGAGGTGCTGAAGCAAGAGAAGAGCAAGCGCAAGGCGGAGGGCCCGAGCGCGGCCGAGAGCGCGTCGAAGAAGGCGAGGACCGGCAAGCAGAGCGTGAACAATGGCGCGATCAGCTGCGCGAAGCAGGCCGCCAGCGACACCTCGATCATGGAGACCATCGACAATGTGATACAGCAGAGCCTGCAGATGACGCAGAGGAGGGAGCGCAAGAGTAAGAACTGCGAGCGCGCTGAGAAGAAGAGGAAGCTCGACGAGGCGCCGTCCGCGCTGAAGAAGAACGCGAAGAAAGCGGAGCCGGCGCCGCCGGCGAAGGAAGCAGCGGTGACGCTCGAGAAGCAGCCCGCTAAAGTCGAGAAGCAGCCGGCGAAGGTGGAGAAGCAGCTGGCGAAGGTGACGACGAGGAACGGCCAGGTGAAGGGCAAGACGGACGCGAGATCGAAGTCCAAGGTGGCGTCGCAGGAGGTCGCGAGGAGCAAAGGCAAGGGCAAGGCCGGCAAGATCGTCGAGAGCAAAGCCCAAGAGAGCAGGACGCAGGAGGCGAAGTCCAGGACGCAGGAGGCGAAGTCGAGGGACGCCTCGAAGAAGCGCGACGCCATCTTGCCGAAGGGGAAAGCGAGCGAGCCCGTGGCCGAGGAGCCGAAGAAGCTCGCCGCGAACAACAAGAAGAAGCGGAAGAACGCGAAGAAGCCGAGCGTGAAGAAGCAAACGCCCGGCGGCAAGGTGGAGGACCCTTCGGCCGGGAACGAGAGTCTGGCGTTAACGAAAAGGGTCTTCCTGAAGCCGCGCTGGAGCAACGGCTGGAGCTGGGAGGGCGAGCCTTTCGAGAGCAGGGTGTATTTAACGGTAAGGATCTCCGGAAGTCTTCGGTTTAGACCGACGAGGAGGATTTGTCGGCTCACGTGAATTCCGAGAAATCAAAGCCCGGAATTTCGCGGGAAAAGAACACTCGGGATCCCAATAACGCATTTTTTTGTCTCGGCTGAAATCGTCCCCGAACGGAAGATGGATTGTGTTCGTGTTTGTGGCGGAGAACAAAATACCGGAGGGATTTCCAATTTTGGCCTGGCACGTTGTCGTTTCTCCAACTAAGTTACCCAAATTACACGCTTTACCGGCGCTAAATTTGCTTTTCTTGTGTATTTATCGTCAAGATGTTAGCTCCTCAGTTTGGTCGCCTGTTTTTCTCATAATATACAGGTTGTCTGACGCAAGCCGACCCATCCATCATATACTTGCAATTTGGGTCAGTGTGAGACAAGTCTACCACTTGCAAGTAACCGCGCAAAATATTGAGTTATTAATTAATGAAGCCTGTACACGGACATTTTCTTTAATCGTGATAATTCACAATTTTACGCGGTCATTTGCAAAACGGTAGAGAACTTTTCCGTTTACATTCAGCTAAACTACAATTACAAGTTGCAAACTGTAACGGACGAGAATGCTTGTGTCAGATACCCGTGTATCTCCCTAAAATCACAAGAGAGATATCGGGAAAAGCGTGAAATACCAAATTTAATAGCATTCCGATATTCTATAACAATGTAGGGAGAAACTCGGAAAATAAATTTTTTTTTTAATATTAATAACAATAATAACTTTATTGCTCGCTACAAGTAAAGAAAAGAGAGAAAAGCGGAATATACAAAAAAATACTACAGAATGGTGATAAAAAGAAAGCAAGAAATGAGGCAACAGCAAAGAAGCTGCTGAGATAACTGCCTATATAAACCAAGCTGATGTAACTCAAGGAAGTACATTCATTTAGATTAACCATTAAGCTGTACCGGCCGCAATATAGCTTTCAGCTGGAGACCGAAACGTAGATAAGGAAGATGTAGCGCGTACAGTAGGAGGCAACGCGTTATAACATTTAACCGCCGTATAAGAAGCTGAACGAAATTTCGAAGTGCAACGGAAGAGCAAACCGAACTCTGCATTTGTTGCACGAGTATTCGGCATGAAAGTCAGCACTGTAGTGCAACAGTTCAAATAAGCGGGAAGAGGACTTTCGAGCCGAGAACGCAGTAGATCAGACAAGTGGGGAATGCAGCGTTGGTAAATCCTCAGCCATTCCGAACGTTGATAAGGAGAAGGTTGCCGGAGAAACATGGTGATATTTTGCGAATGCCGTGTACGAAACAAAGGCAGGAGTTCTGTGAACGCTGCGGTAACTGCTGATTTAGGCGTGGTGCGTAAATCACATCTGTTTAATCAAACAGAGGGAGATAATGAAGGAATTGGACAAGAGCAGTTTTCGGGGAATAGAAAGAACGCGACACTGAGAGGATGATAAAGCTTGCGAAACCTCGGATACGCCTCGGATAAGCCCGATATTTAGTGCCAACGTGATGCTCAAAGGTTGAGTCAGAGTGAAGTCCAAGGATACGCAAGACGGGACGGATTGTTCCAATGGGAATGGAGTTGGGGGAAATATTTAAGGAACAGGAAGGAGAGAGGTTGTGGGAGGAGCCAGCAAGTAATAGGTTTCGGCAGGTTTAAGTTGCAAGCCATTCGATCATTCGTGGATTAAGTTCAAATTATGGTCAATCCGGCGAGAAATATTGGCCACGTTATCCCCTTAGTTTAGAAATTACTCCTTTATCTCGACGTTGTAAAACGTTAAAAATGCCGTTGAAGCTAGTGTTTATTTTGAGTATCCTTCATGAGGTTTCGGAGATGACAGCAAAAATATATCGTATTTCCTCGGAAAGGGATGCTTTCACGACCCCGAAAGACAAAAATCGTATTTCAGCCGATGCAAAAATAACTGTGTTATTGGGTTCACACGCATTTTATTTGCGCAAGCATTTCAGTCCTTTTGTTTCTTTCCCGTCAAAACAGTCACGGAAACTCGTTCCCCGCGAGTCTCCCTCGGGGGTGGGGAGAGATTTCTCATCGTGAAGTGAAAATGTCTCATTGTAGAACGAGGAGTACGCGACACGGCGCTGTTACGCGAGCATGAGGCACGAGAGCGGGGACGTGCTGAGGCCCTTGGACTGCGTGTTGCTGAAAAGCGGGCCGCGCAGGGCCGACCTACCGTTCGTGGCGAAAATCGCCACCCTCTGGGAAAATCCGGACGATGGTAGGTATGCCGGCGACGATAATACGACGACGGTGCGACGGATCGAAGGAAGGCATTCGCGTGGCATTCGTGGCTCTTTGTTTCTGTTTGCGCGCGATAAAATTAAC